CTATTATAGAAAGTATTTTCTCACACCCCAAACAATCTGCCTCCTTTCTTCTCCCACTTCTATTTATAAAAGTTTACCTTTCACCCTAAACTTCCTTCTTGGTTTCCAAGTTGGGAATCGATGGGCTGGATCTCTTCTCTCGGACCATGTGGATTGGAGGCCCGCTTTCACTAAGGATGTGGTCGGCCTATGGGCCACTGAACATTCGTCTGAAATGAATGGGTTGGGCCGGGTCCAGCCCGTTGGAGTGATTAGACCTTTCACTACTACATGACAAGATTACAGTAGACATCCTTGACTAACTCAAGGATGTGATGAAGAAAACATTGAATAAACATATCACACTGGATAGCATGAACTGAAGTATTTGCAGAGGTATGTCCAACATGAGAATGGTCAAATGCACCCTTGATCGTCGGAGGATGCAACAAAAGGAAAGAAATGGTGCTAGCAATTAGCCATCAACTGATTTACCATCTGCACCAAGAACCCATCCCCGATCCCTACGATCAATTGAAAACTCATACACCGAAATATTGTCAATCAAATCAAAATATCCCGTAACACCCATCCACTGTCTATGATCTGCGGCTATTAGATTCACTACATCGTGGATGACTAGATGACCCGCCAGGGGAGAGCATAAAGAATAGATCCGCTAATGTACAAGGAGCAAGAAAGACAAACACAGCAACCCGGATGCAACATAGATCAAAAAGAAAATTAATTAGCAATAAAAGGTTAACAAAAAAAGGCGGTGTCGGTAGTGAAAAGCGGTGGTGGTGGTGGTGAAAGGTAGAAGTCGTTTTGATGGAAGATGGTGGTAATTTTTGGACTTGAAACATGAGGATTTTTTAGGAAGTTGATTTTTTTAAAAAATTACCTAGGAATGGAATGGTTATTCAATATGTTTAGTTGTGGAATGGATTTTCATTCCAATGGAATGACCATTCCCACTTTAAATTGCATATCAAACAAAGGAATAGTTGAAATAGTCATTCCATTTCATTCCATTCCTGAACACTAAGGCTTCGTTTGGATACACGTGAGAGAAAAGAAAGGAAATGATAACATTAGTTATGAGAGAAAGGAAAAGGAAGGATAAGTATAATTTATATTCATGTTTGGATAGACAGAAGAGAAAAAAAAAGGAAATGATAATATTCTTATTTGGATAAAATAGAGGAGAGAAAAGAAAGAAAATAATAATAACCAAATTACTATCATACCCTTTTGTATTTAATCTAAATCAAATGACTTATGTTTTCAAAATCTACCTATTGTCAAATTAATTTGCTGGTCTCCTTCAAATGCTAAGACTTAGGTGGGACTCATTCCCTAACTAGGTTTATATAATTAATTAATGTAAACTATAAAAAATGATCATATAATAAAGTAACTATACATGACTATAGCATGTACAGTTACTATATGTCTTGGGGTATGATAATTCATCACTACTCCATCAATTACGGTACAACAAATTGGCTTTTTTATTTTTTATTTTTTATTTTATTTTCAAATTTCAGGAAATTGTTCCCCTAGATGCATGAAATATTCTTGTGAGTTAGGACAATGAAGCTGCAGCAACATGGCTAGCCCTTATAAGCCAACCACTTAACAAACCACATCATGACTCCATGAACCCTAGCTCTGATTCAAGCCATAGTTCGAAACAATCACACAATACTTCTCTAAATTAAGGTACTTCGATTATGTTATGTTATAAGGACTTGAAAGGAATTAAAAATTTGTGTATCTAATTTTGAAGGCTAATTTTGGCATTATAAAAATGCCACTAAACCTACTTTCCTTTCCCTCCAAATCTACTCATATTTGGAGGGATACAATATAAGGGATTTGGAGTGATAATTATTCCTCCAAATCCTTCCCAATCATTTCTTTTCTCCTCATTAAAGATATCCAAACACAATATTGTTTATCCTTTTCTTTTCTTTTCTTTTTTCTTTCCCCCCAAATCATGTCATCCAAACGAACCCTAAACACAGCATAAGAATAAAGAAAATTGGTACACAAATTAGATGATATAGAGAGAGAAATTGAGGGCAGAGAGAGGAAGATCCCCCACATGCCCATGTCCCAAAAGAAGAACGTCAATGGGTCATTCTCAATATACTCGGTCGGTAAGGTGCTACTAAAAGAGTCCACACTCTCTCACATCCCCTCTTTTCAAACTTTAATATTACAAGCATTGCGAAAGCACCGTTCCTCTTCATGTGTCTCTCTCTCACACTAAGATTGTCAACACTCTCTCTCCTTCCTCCCTAAAAAAAACATATTGTATTGTGCTAAATGCGAGAATTAAAAGTTCATTCAATTTCCTCACTCCTTCCTCTCTCTCTCTCTCTCTGTCTCTCTCTCTCTCTCAAAATTCCAAAATCTTACTACATCAACCGCCCACATAATGTTTTTTTTTTTGGTAAAAATCCCAAACAAAAACCAATCTTCTTTCTCTCTTATTCAAAACATCTGACATTCACTCTCTAAAATATCATAAATTTTCCTTTTGAAACCCTTCCAGTCTCTCGCTCTCTCTCTCTCTCTCTCTCTCTCTCTCTCTCTCACACACACACACACACACACACTCCTCTCTCTAAAACATCATATCAATTCTCTCTCCTCCTTCCTTCTAAATAAAACATATTATATTGTTTGACATGTGGAAAAAGCCCCTCTCCCATTATTCCTTAATTGGGACTCCGTGAGTTCTAATCCTTGTAACGTCACAATCCGTATTAAAACATAATAGGCCCAATCATCTTTACATCTTCTCGGAAACATGTAACGTTCTCTCTCTAAAACATGTATCATACATAATTTTGTCTATATAAACAAACCCCTCCCTCATCCTCTCTCTCTCTAAAACATCCTATCAACTCCTCTCTTTTGTTCACCATACACCATTTCTTCTCTCTCTCTCTTTCCCTCATTAAGACTCCTCCAAAACACCGTAATTCCTCTGATTTTTCTGCACAAACATTCTCTCTCTATATCTATCTATCTATATATATATATATATACACAAAAGTAGCAAAGAGATGGACTATAATTCAATGGATGCAACTAATAATTCAGGAAAGAGCAGTAAACTGAAGATGAAATGCCCCTTTGTGACTCCTGTCCGAGGAACGGTGAAGAGGATGATGTTTGCGGGTTTCATTCATGAGCTGAGGCTCCTCTGCAAAATCACCTTCCGTCCCTTCCTCCGCTGCTTTGAACTCACATAATAACTCTTGTCGTTGCATTCCTTCATGTTGTCTCCATTACCAACCACCAGTACTCATCCTACTGTGTCGTCGTGTGTGTATGTGTGTGTTCTTTTTCTCTTAAATTTTCGTGGACGAATCATGGTTATTCGTGTTGCTGTTGCTTAATTTGGTACCATGTTTGATATGTTGTTATTGTGGTGGTTGCGATCATTCAATGTGTTTTTTTACGTTAAAATGGTACACGAATATGAATGAACAATTTACAGTAAATTCCAATCTCCGCCATTGAAATACAGAAGTCCAATACCCAAAGTGCTCCTCATAACGCTATATATATATATATAGAGAGAGAGAGAGAGAGAGTTGCAAACACCAATATAAGTCCAAATTATACTATTCTTGGTTATACTATTCTTGGTGGATGTACAATCCATTAGACAACCTTTTCTAATAGATAAGTAGTTGACAAAGTGCATGATGCATGATAAAAAAATTTAAACTGGCAGGTGAGAGAACAAAGTTAAATTCAACACTCTTAATTTATACATAGATACATGTATATCTTTTAATTTTTATAAATATCAACATTAATAATTATCGATTTACAGTGGAAGACATTACAGACTAACAAGCTAAATAACCAACTTGTTTGTGGAACTTTGGAATTCTAATGCTCTATTTGGTAGGAATGAAGGAAGAGGGATGGAGGAAAGATAAGAAAGATGTAGCAAAAAGATGAGAGAAAAGAGGATGGTTTTATCCCTCCAAATATGGAGGGAAGATGCAAAGGAAAAAATGCAAAGTTATTATAAAATAAAATAAAAAATTATAAAATTTACTTACAATTAAGAATTTCATTCTCTTTCCTTCCATCTCATCAAACAAAAATTAGGATATCTTATTCATCTATTATTCTCTTCATTTCATCCAATTTTTTTTCTTCCTACACTATGAACTTGTTAGATAAAAAAAAAGATACTTACGTGGAGATAAAACGGATGAAGAGGAGTTAGAGAATCATGGTAATTCTTCTACAAGAAACAAGGGGAGAAAACACTGGAAAGCAATCTGGCTTTAGACAATTTTGAATTAATAGAGTACTTGTTCAATTAAATATGATTAATATCACAGTCTAGATAGATACTTAAAATTACAATTTCAAATTAGCACTTAAAATTCCCTTAGGCCATGTTCGGTTACATGAAATTGGAGCTTTAGAATTGAAATTTGTGGAATTGAAAGAAAATTTTAATTTAATTTTGTGAGTTGTTGTTTTTCTCCGATTCCACATATTTCAATTCCAAAAGTTACATGGAGCTGAACACACCTTATAAAAAAATGCTTTTAACACATTTTAAACGGGTAATGTGGAATTGAAAGGGCTAATTAACCACAGCATTATAGAAAGAATGCATTGTTATTTAAATGTAGAATCTTACCGGTGAGGAAATTCAACGGCTCCAGAAAACTCCAATGATTCCTTTCAGCATTATAGAAAGAATGCATTGTTATTGTAAACACCACCAATACCTTACAAAATAGGGCTAAAATAGGACTAGCCCTATTTTGTAAAATGAAGGCAAGGACAGGTAGAGACAATGCATTGTTATTGTAAACACCAACACCAACCCTAGCCCAGTTCACGAGACTCTATAATCTATTCAGAATTCAAGGTAGGAATAGCTTTTAAAATGAAGGCAAGGACAGGTAGAGGAAACTATGAAATACTTCAATGCTAACAGAAACTTTACATGGCACAGGGGTCCAACGGAACAAGAAACAGAAGGTATCCAGAATACTTCTATACGGTTTGCAAATTTTAGAAAACAATATAAAAAGGATCCCTTTCAAATATTGGAAGCAGAAATTGTTAATTGACAGCACCGAAATAAAACTGAAAAATACACAAAATAACAATTAGATGGCAAAGCAAAATGAAATTCCAGAGTGCCGATGAAATACTGAGCTGGAGAAAAATATAGGCTCCTTCGTTCATTTCAGATGAATATACGAGCTCCACTTCCATATTACCTACAGTAGTCAAATTTAAAATGATCAATTAGGGAAGAGGAGAGAAAGAAGAAGACATGCAGAGAATGCTAACGACTTCACAATGACAACAAAATGCAAAGAGATATATATATATCTAACAAAACAAATATGAGTTCAAAGTCATCTCAGAGTTTCTCATTTCTCTAACACATCAATTTGATTATTAACCAGAATAAAGAATGGTTAACTTCAAGTGTGCCTAGCTCCAAGCAATGTCCACATCCAGTCAAAATCTTTACCCTATTAAGCATATATTAACCAGCTTACACTCATTTAAAGTAATAATATAATAAAATGAAATTATTGGAAATATATTTTAAGTGCATGCCCAACCAAAAGTGTCAGACACATATCCCATATACCCATATCCGAATAATGTGTATCGGACACAGGTACTTCAACTACTTTGGAAGAGTCCAGGTAACATAGATTATACTTTATGGGGTCAGACCTTGTATGTATGAAAGTAACAATTTACCCATGTTACATGGACAAGGGTACGAGTATCAAGTGTACATACGTGCATAAGTTTCGAATTTTTCTAAATCCTGAATCTTAAGATATGAGAAAATGTGTCCAAAAATTAGATATGGATATATAAACATGTGTATTCATTAAAAATACATTATATATATTCTAATGTATGATGTGATTGTTCTTTATGGTATATTCAATTAGAATTAATAATTGAACGGGATGTGGTCAAAGGAAAAAAACAAAGAGGGAGATTTCCCTCCATCTCACAAGCAGGAAACATTTATCTACTATCAAAGTTCACATTTTCTTCTTCAATCATAATGTAGGATTGAAATGTCCGATTTGGGTTTGTCATACACGTATCACTTGCCCATACCTGTGTTGTAATGTATCCTTTGTCAAGAACGAAAGTAACTGAACTGAGTAGCATATACACTAACATAGGATACGAGACACATGAATATGCCAATACGCAAATCAAATAAAAATTAGGACATGGACATGGACATGATGTAGACATGAGTACATATAAATATGAAAATTTATCTATATACATCTATCGAATAAGAAACTAATAGAACTTTAATTAATTTTCAATTTTTATACTAGCAGTTACATAATTTAGAAGATTAAGCTATGCAAATAACATAAAGATTAGTACAATTTATACTATTAATCTTCTAATTTGCCATTAAAATTGTATTTCGTCCTATATGAAAAAACGTCAAGACCAGTGATGACCATTGATACAACGTCAACTTTTATTAAGGAAAATTTATTAAGGAAAAAAAGATCCGAGACTTTGTTGTGAGCACATTGTTTCTAAAAATGTTCGGATGTGGCTACTCTTAATGTGTTTGTATTATATTAAACTGATTTTGAGTTGTTTGAGACGTGTCGACCAAAAGAGAAATAAATAAGGAAAATTGTATCTGAATTAGGGACACACTCATGAACTATCTGACAGTGCCCAAGAGTATTCATTTAGTGTTGGTGTCTCACAATATCTGACATGGACACCTACACAAAAGTGTCCATGTAGCAACATATTATGTTTGATGAATTGATAGTGAATAGTATAAATAAATGACCAAGATCTTTACGCATCACAAAATATCATATGGCTAAAAAGGTGATAATATTATTGCAGATTTCATAATAAAATTGCACAATGTACAGTAATGCAAGTGCCAAGTAATCTGACCACATGTAATATTTCAAGTTTTGGTGACCAATGTAAACACACTTACCATTGATTTTTTTTTTTTTTTTGATAAGTAAAAGGCAATTAGAAAAGCGTTCAAAAGGGGAACGCGTCCCTAATACAAAAAAACGAAAATTAAACCTAAGTACCAATAGAGTCCAAAAGATCAACCAAGCCAACGGTCGAGGAGCAAGCGCTTCCTTTCACATAATAGAAAATAGAACGAAGAATATGCATTTTCAAATTCGCCAAAGACGTTTCCTTTCCTTCAAAACTTCTGCTATTCCTCTCTCTCCATATGCACCACCAAACACGGTGTGGAACTATCCTCCACTAGTCACGAGCGTGGCTTTTCATTGGGCGTCTTCTCCATGAGTTAATCGGTCCTATGGAAGACTGGGGCATTACCCAATGTACACCAAAAATGCCGAAGATGAGGTTCCAACAATTATACGCCACAGGACAGTGTATAAGAATGTGATCCACAGACTTACCGTCTGTTTTTACATAGACAGCACCAATTAACAATACTGTTGCCTCTCTTCCTCAAATTGTCCAACGTCAAAATCTTGTCCAACGTCAGACTTACCATCTCCCAATCCTGAAAACTACGCCTAAAACGCGCATCCCACGTGACCCCACTGCTATCAAGCCGATAACAGTCAGCTACGTAGGCGTGTCTATTTTCGGCAATACTATAAAGTCTAAGAAAGAAATAAGACAACAACTGATCTCCACACCATAAATCCTCCCAAAAACAGACACGTCTACCATCACGAACCTTGAATCTGATGTGTGCGGAAAAGACATCCCAACCCTTCCGAATGAATTTCCGCACGCCGACGCCTCCCGCAACAAAGACTGGACGGGAGGACCAGCCACCACTCTCCTCCCCAAAACGACACGAGACAATCCTTCTCCACTGGCGATGTCGTTCTCTACCAAATCTCCATAACCACTTTCCGAATAAAGCTCTATTAAAATGAACCAACTTTCTGATGCCTAATCTGCCTAACTTCAAGGGTTTGCAAATTTGCTCCCAATTAACAGATGATACTTGAACTCCTCTCCCCTTCCACTCCATAGAAAGTCCCTTTGAATTTTTTCAATCCTTTCAGCGACAGAGCATGGGATTTGAAACAAAGATAAAAAGTAAATGGGTAGGGACGAGAGAGTACTCTTAATAAGAGTGACCTTCCCCCTCCTTCTACAAATATTATTTCTCCCATCCTGCCAATCTCTTCTCATATCTATTGATCACCGGGTCCCGGCTCCCCACCTCCTGGAGGAAACCCCCAAAGGCAATCCCAAATAAGGAAGAGGAAAAACACGCACCCCCACACCCAAGAACTGCAGCTAAGGAGGAAATATCTGGAACATCCCTTACCGAGACAAGCACACTCTTTCCAACATTGATCTTTAGCCCAGAAACTGCCTAAAAACAAACAAGAATGCATCTCTAAGTTGGGATACATCGGCATCACAAAAAACCAAGGTATCATCCACAAACAGCAGATGGGAGATCTCCATCTGATGAGCTACATCTCTACCGACTCTGAACCCTCTGATATAACCCAAATCCTCCGCTCTCCTCATTAGTCTGCTCAAACCCTCCATGACTAAAAGGAATAAAAAAGACGACAAGGGGTCTCCCTGTCTCAAACCTCGAGAGCTCGCAAAAAAGCCAGTAGGAGATCTGTTCACTAGAACAGAGAACATGACGGATGAAATACATGTTTCGGTCCATTTCCTCCACCTATCTCCGAACCCCATCCTCTGAAGCAAGTAAAGGAGGAACTTCCAATTGACATGATCATAAGCTTTCTCAATGTCAAGTTTGCATAAGACGCCAAGACCCCACTCTTCAACCTGGAATCAACACATTCCCCTGCTATAAGAACAGAATCCAAGATCTGTCGTCCTCCAACAAAAGCGTTATGGGACGCCGAAATAACTCCATCTAATACATTACTCATCCTAAGAACAAGAACCGTAGCAATCAGCTTGTATAACTGTACATAATGCAATTTTATATTTCTATCAATGGTAATCCCATCAATGGTAAACAGTTACCATTGATAGGAATATAAAATTGCACTATGTACAGTTATGCATGTGCCAACTAATCCAAACACATGAAATATTTCAAGTTTTGATGACCAATGTAAACAGCTTAATCATTGATAGGTTGTAACGACCCGAAACCATAGGGCACGAATAGTTTTCTAGAACGCAACATAGGACAACAATCTTCTAAGCCAAACAAATTTGCACAGCAGGCGTTCAAAAATCGGTAGAAAACCCATTTTTTTATCAAAATGGGCAAACTAAAATTCTTTGGAAACTAGTGTAACATGACTGAGCCACTCCCAGCAGCGGGAACTTTACTAATGAAATCAGTTTTTAGATCAAAGAATGACTACTAAACCCGTGCTGAAATTGATAGTGTGATGAACTTTGGCACTTTTGGGTAATCAGAAGGGGTGATAAAATTGCGAGGCTTTGGATTTTAGAACCTAGACACGAAGGGCTAAAAACCTGAAATTTTTGACAATTTTTCAATGTCAAGAAGTTTGTCAAATAAATTTTTAAAATCTATTACCCAACAGCGATAATGAGGACAGCAGGCACTATCGAATTTTTAAAAAATATATCCGTTCATCCAAAAATCATGAAATTTTACAGAGATAAACTAGACAAAGAGGGGAACTTGTGATAAAAATTTGAGAGCATTTGGAACACTATAGCCCCTTGGAGAAATTATTGATTCTCAGCACAATAAAAACAATCCCTGTTTGTTTCCAAATCTCAAATTCATGCTACAACTCCTATGATACCTAAACGAAAGTCCATAAAATGTCCACAACTGATAAAATTACAATATACTTAGGTAAAATTCTCAAATTACATCAATTTCTCGAAAAATAAGATCATACAAACATTAAATCAAACACCTTATGTACATGAATAATATAATCTCCAACAAACAAGATAACAACTCCAAATCTCCATTTTTTATCATAGAATTCCTGAAAATTGGTAAGGTGAGACTAGAAGTCCCAGTAGGAAATACTATATGTTAACTACCCGTCTACTCTAAAAGGTTAAACTATTAGAGAGGGTGTAACTTAAATATATAAATCCTTCAACATGCCCCCTCACGTGTGGCCTTTATTTTCGTCCAACACGTGTTTTTCAATTTTTTAATTAGGGTGACGGTGAGATTTGAACTCAAGACCTTTGGCTCTAATACCATGTTAACTACCCATCTACTCTAAAAGCTTAAACTATTAGAGAGGGTGTAACTTAAATATATAAATCCTTCAACACTATAACATGTGTTGTTATGGCATATCATGGACCAAACAAAAAGGAACAAGATACTAGGATTATGAACATGCAATCAATATGCATATACAAGAACACTTCACAATAAAACAATGATTCCAAAGAAAGGAGAAGAATCAAGTAAACAATTTATGAAACAGTTCAAAACTAAGCAAATACACAAGTATTGCTACAACAATATCCATGGCCAGATAGAAGAATTTTAGATACAACATCACCATAGCAACATAAGTTAGAGCAACCCTACCTAGAAGATATGATGTATATGGAGATGATGAGATAATAGTAGTGATGGTGAGAGCATGAAAAATCCAGCCAGCCTTCTCTTTTGTTTTCCCTTATTTCCTTCTCTCCTTCCCTCTCTAGATTCAACCAAAGCATTTCCCTTTGCTCTTTTCCTCTACTCTCTTTTCCCTTTTGTTTTTGTTCCTCCTTTAGTTTTCACTTTGATTCATACAAGATGTAAGTTAGAGACATCACAGGTGTATAGGTTTGGGGAAGTAAGTGTCCTATAATTTTGCATGTAGGGAAACAAGTGTAATGAATATCATGTATAGTTGCCACCTCATAAGCCACTTAATTCAATTCTCTAGTAATGACACTGACCTCCACCATTCTCAATGCACTAAAGACCTCCAAAATTACCCAAGTCACCCAACATAAAATTTCCATAAATCAATAATAAGACTATGCTTCCAAAATATAAATAACTACTCCAATAAAATAACAATGTCTCCAAATATAGTTGAAAGTGTAAATCAAGCCACATATATGATCAAAGCTTAATAAAAAAAACCCGGGGTATGACATTCTCCAACCCTTTAGGGAATTTCGTCCTCGAAATTCAACTCTCAACTATTTATGTATCATTTGGAAAGCACATAAGGCCTTTTTCCTCTTTTCCCTAGGTGATGTGAGACACCATGACGTGTAGGCCATTGTATTAGCTAGCAAGCGCTAGTCACCCACCCACACATTTCGTAAGCGTTGTGGTATCTCATCAACTCCTTGTACATCATCTCTTCTAAGTAGGGTTGCCCTAACTTATGTTGTTACGGTGATGTTGTATCTAAAATTCTTCTATGTGGCTATGGATATTTGTTATAGAAATACTTGTGTATTTGCTTAGTTTAGAATTGTTTCATGAATTGTTCACTTGATTCTTCTCATTTCCTTGGAATCATTGCTTTTTTTTATTCCTAGTTCTTGAAATTATTGTTTTATTGTGAACCAGTCTTGTATATGCATATTGATTGCATGTTCCAAATCCTAGTACCTTGCCCTTTTTGTTTGGTCCATGACATGCCATAGCAACACGTATTATAGTATTTTCTAGTAAGACTTCTACTCTCACCCTACCAATTTTCAGGAATTCTATGATCAAAAAGGGAGATTTGGAACTGTTATCTTGGTTGTTAGAGACTATATTATTCACCTACATAAGGTGTTTGATTTAATGTTTGTATGATCTTATTTTTTGAGAAATTGATTTAATTTGAGACTTTTATCTAAGGATGTTGTAATTTTATCAGTTGTGGACATTTTATGAACTGTTGTTTAGGTATCATAGGAGTTGTAACATGAATTTGGGATTTAGAAACAACCAGGGACTACTTTTTATTGTGCTAAGAATCAATAATTTCTCCAAGTAGTGTTCTAAATGCTCACAAATTGTTATCACGAATTCCCTTCTTTGTGTAGTATATCTCTATAAAATTTCAAGATTTTTGGATGAATGGATATTTTTCTAAAAATCTAACAGTGCGTGTTGTCCGTCTCATTGTCGCTGCTGGGCAACGGATTTTAAACAAATTATTTGATAAAACCTTTTTATATTGAAAAACTATCAAAATTTTCAGTTTTAGACTTCCATTAGTCTACTTTCTAAAAACCAAAACTTGGAATTTTCTCAGCTCCCTACATTTCCTAAACGACCAAAGTTTATCGAATAGTTTATTTTCAGTCCACCCTACATAACCTATTTTTAGTTTTTTAAATTTGACTTAATTGGATATGTTTCAAACTCCAAAAGTGGCTCAGACATGTTGCATTCTTAGTCTAGTTTCTAAAGAATTGTAGTTTGCCTTGTTCCGATTTAAAATGAATTTTCTATGAATTTTTGATTGATCGCTGCACATATTTTTCTTCTAACCTGATGTCCCATTGAATTTTCTACCAAATTTTGAGTAACAACTACGCAGATTTTGAGGTTGTTTGTGATTCTTTTTGTTTGGTGTTTATCAGGGTAGCGCATAGGATGATTATTTTATGATATTTTTATACATTTGATGATAATGAACAGACTATGAACCTTCTTTTGATTTACTTTTGGTGATTTCTAAATTATTTCAGGTCGTGACATAGGCAAAGGTGTAACAGTAATATCCCAGCTTTATGGAATTGGTTACGCAATACCAGTTTTCCCACTCTGCAATGCCATGACCATGTAAGTAACCATGCTTTCTCCAACTGTAGTAAACTGTGTCATTCTGGCATTCTTGTTACTCTTGAAGACACACATTTGAGCCATGAAGTTTTTATTTGTTCATTCCAACCGTGAGTTATGAAAGAAGCTTGGAGCTATATTTTTCATGGTTTGAGAACGCGAATCAAAATGAGTTTTAGAAAAATTATTGTCTCTAAGCTATAACAAAAAGCATATGGATACCTATTCTTGATTGATATTCTTTTTAATTCAACATCATCAATTTTACTAAATCTACATCATGCATATATATTCCCTAATTTCCCAACAACCATTTTCACAACACTTCCAGCTAAAAATGGAGCACTTCCCATCCAGAATTATTGATTTTCACCAATCATTTGACACTCCAATTAACTTCATGGCTTCCACATCTAACCCACTTCTATTCTATGGATTAAGTTGTCTTGTCTTGCAATTGTAATACATGATGAAACAGAAATGATACTAGCAATTGTAAGTTGTTACTCTCCCTACAAATCATAAATAACTTACATAGCTAGCATGACCAAAACCAAAGTTGCATTCAAATCATTCAATAGAATGCCACTAGGATAATAAAAGTTCAAAGCATGTTGGAGAAAGAGATGGAAGACATAACCTTTCTTAAACATGGCACAATCCATTGAAATGAAGAAGCCAATGGTTCTATGTGCGAACTTTATGAATGATATTAAAGTTCTATCTAGCCAGAAGGATTTGAAATGAATGGATCTAAGTTGAACTATTTAAGTATTACAGTTTGAATTTACATTTAGTAATTTAGATCTAAGTTTTAACAATATGAAGGACAAATGACCAAAGGATGGCGAGATTTCTTCCGCAGTTGGTTTCTTTTTCTGAAGTCAATAGATTGATTTGAGAGCTATTGTGCATGGATTTCGAATGACAAGGCCCAACAAGTTACTTAAGATACATGCAGAAAGGATTGTAGTTGCATAAGTAGTACAATAAAATGTCTCTCATATCTCTAACTTAACATTCCATCAGACTTTCAAATCCAACTCTACTAATCTACTATTTAAACTCAAAACCCTTCATTTCAAATCAATTCATTTATCCAGAATGTACCATAAGAGTAATATATTTCTTGTATTCTTAGTATCGGAAGATCAGTAATATGCATAATAGTTTCTCATTGTCCAATAACACCCACAAGATAAAAAGTTAATTACAAATGAATGTCCTCATTGAACATATAAGGGGATATCTCATCAAAATGAAAATTCGAGGGTTCCCAGATCATTTTTGTTTTCACTAGCTACAACTATTTTTGCATGCAAAATGCACTAATCTTTATATTTATATAAATAGTAAGATCCACTAAAATTCTTGATATGCACCAATCATTCAACACCATTTATAGCCTCCACATCTAACGATTCCAACCCACTCTCATTCTCAGGATGATGTTGTCTTTAGTCTGGCAAAGTTGCTACTCGGCCTTTGAATTCTAAAGGATTTAAATAAGTAGCATGACTAAAACCCATATGACATTCAAATCATTCACTAATATGCCACCAACACCGTCCAACTTCAAAGAATGATGGTGGGATACATGGAAAATACACCATTATTGAAAAAATAACAACCCGCTGACATGAATAAGACCGACAGTTTAATGTTTCAAACTTCATGACTCAGATTTAAGTGTATTGCACTTTCTATGTATCCTTAGTAATGGAAGATCAATAATCTCCATAATGGTGTCCTGTTATCCAATAAGATCAACAAGATACTAAACTTCATACAAATAAATGTCTTCATTAAATTGAGCATATAAAGTGATAACTTTAAAAAAAAAAATTAATAATAAATAAATAAATAAATTTAGAGTTCCTCAAGATTATTATTTTTCTCATATGCTACAATTACATGTGAATATATATAATTGTATGCATGTTATAAGAATATAGAATGCACTAAAATTATAATACAAATTGAGGGTCCCAGTTAAGACACAATAATTTATCTCATTTGCTACAAAGAAATGTCTGTGTGTGTCTATATGTAAGTGTATGTGTGTGTGTCTGTGTGAGAGAGAAAGGATTCAGAATGCAACATTATTTCAAACATAAACCCTAACAGATGATAGACATATAAAACCAAAAAATTTCAAAATGCAATCAACAATCACAGGACCAAATCCAATTGCCAAAATGTAAAACACAGAGAGACTCCAATTACCAAAATGTAACACACACAGATATATAAGAGAGATAAACTTACCCAATGTTCATCATTTGGCAACCATCCTAGCAATGAAGTCCTCGTACCGGATCTTCCCATCGGATCCAACCTCAACCTCCCGGATCCACTCGTCGAACTCGGCCGCCTCCAATTTCTCCCCAATGCTGGTGAGAATGTGCCTGAGATCCGAAACGACGACGTACCCAGTCCCGTCCTTGTCCAAGACCTTGAAGGCGTCGCGAAGCTGGCGATCGAAGGGCTCGGGCTTGAGGTGCTTGGACATGAGGCTCAGAAACCGAGGGAAATCGAACGGCGAGGTCAGGTTCTCCTCGGCGACGATGGACTTGAGCTGGGATTGGGTAGGGTTGCCTCCGAGTGACCTCATCAGAATGCCCAGCTCCGACGGCGCGATCTTGCCGTCTCCGTCGGTGTCGAAGAGCGTGAAGGCCTCTTTCATCGATGATTTTTGCTCGTCGCTCAAATCTTTCGCCATTGTTGGAGATGACGCTCTCAAACTCTCTCTCTCTACTCTCTCTCTATTTGTATGTGTATATATCACCTCCCTGATTCTGTTTGAAACGTTTTCAGGGCACGATGCAATTTGAATGAAATGAAATTTTGGACTGTTACGATCTGACAGATCTGGTTAGATCCAACAAGCGATTGGGTCAGCCCAAAATAAAAACCCAGATAGAACACAGCTATGGGTTGATTAATTGAGTTGGGCCGTAATATGGCCCGTACCAACTCCTCACTTGAATGATTTTGAATGGTTTGTGGGCCAAGCTAAGCCCAACTCTAGTATATTAAGTCTTTCTTGCAATTTTCACTGATGAACCTTGGTTTGAAAATGGATTTGTTTTTTTAGATAATGGAAAAGGATTTGGAAACGAATTTACAATACGAAGCTCATTGTGTCTCTTGATTAATTGGATTGTTTCTTTGTGAATTCCTATACGAAGCTTGTGTAAATGTATCTTCGAGTATTACATTTATCATTTCTTTCAAGAGGAGGAGGTCTTCTAATTCTATGAATTTTTTTAGAATACTCTTTTTTTGAAAGATCATTCAAAAAAAGGTTTCAGATTGCCTAGTATTCCATCAATTCGTAACCTAAGATTCCATATGGCTATATTTGGCAGCACTGTATTGGTCCGCTAGTTCTTTATCACTTATTTTATTCTTATTTTTTTATTTCTATTATTGAGTTAATTACTTATTAGTCTGAGTTGTTTAGATTGATATATTATATTATGGGACTTAATGTCTCATGAAACATTGAGTCTCAAATTCAAATACTCTCAAGTGCAAGGATAACAATCCCGAATATAGTCCGAATTTTATCCCGTGTAAATGGGTCTTGCTGGGAATAATAAATAATTTATCAGCCACATTAATGCTTGGTCCACTCGGGTACAAAACTATGTACCCCGCAATTTAAAGCTTTGAATTTTTCTTTTGGAAATCTTTTCTGTTTGGGGGTTCACTCACTGGTTTTTTAGCCATATCGGTTTCAACTTTCTTATGCAAAGGAAGATGCTCTTTCCATCTCGGAAGGACTAGTACACGCATACGTGATATTGATTGGATTGGAGCATTAAGTGATCTATGGCCCATTACAACGGTTATAGCTTAGTAATACTTTCCTGGTTGAGACTTCACCTCCTCGTTAGTTTGGCTATGCAACTAGTTTGGTTAAGTGATGTTTCTGCGTGTTTAATACTATTTAAAAGTTGTTTGGTAACGTAAATTTGTTAACAAGATTTTTAGAAGCAAAAACATGAAAATATATTTGTTAAGAAGTGTTGCAAGTTTGAAATTTTGAATGGTGAGTTAAATTTTTTTTTTTTTTTTTAATAGTGCGGAAACAAACAAAAGTATCATTTTGATACTTCTGATTTTGGCCTCAATTTTGGAAGCGTTTTGGTACTATTTAAATTATAGTAAATATTACCAAATATGCTTTGTGCTTTTACTTCGCAACATTACACTAGCAAAAGCAAAAAAAATAGGAAGCAAAAGCGCTAGAAAAAAATAAATAAATAACCTATAGCACATAACTATCTAATAGTGTGAAATAACTTAGATTCCGTACGAATAATTTTTGTTCTTAGAGAACTATTAAAAAAATATAAAATAATCTCACTTCCCAAATAGCCTTTCAACTAAGATATTTTAAGGTGCACCCATCGAGCTGAATCAGTTTTGATTGGCCTGTGGACCAATAATGAGCTAGAATTATGGTTTGTTGTCGCGATATCATTCGCGATCGCAATATAATAAATTTGGATGAATATTAATTTAAACAGGCCAAATCAAGTGATTTAACGATATCCAACCCTTAAAAAAAAATATTACGAAATTAGTCAATACGTCACTTATAAACCGATACTTCCGACTATGGTTGGAACAAAGACCTTTTATTAATGAGCGGAGCTGTGTCTGTTCAGTTAAGTTTGTGTGGGCTTTGCTCACTTCCAAGCCCTTTTCACGTGTAACTGTCCACCATGAAACATTTGGGCCACCACTGAGTCACTGACCCTCATAGCATATGGCTCTCTCTCTCTCTCTCTCTCTCTTCCTAAAAAGTAGCATCTTCCAAATGGGTGGTCACGCATGAGGGTCACATGACACACTTGGGCGACCATTGACCCTTTCAAATTTGTAGTATAAATTATTTAATTTTTCATATTAAATTAAAATTTTGGAAACACTCTAAAAATGAAGAAAGAAAAGAAAAAGACGAAATCAACCTTGGTAACAAACTCAAGCACTTCAATACTGCATATATGAGGGTTTTTTTTTTTTTTTTAAGGAAATATATATATATATATATATACAGGTTATGAAGTGGCTTTACTCACGTACTAATTTTATTCTTTTTTTTGAATTTAAAATAAATAAATGAGAGACTACTATTTGTTGTTTAGGTATAGGGATAATTGTTGTAACCAATAATGAAACCAAGTATAATGGTATAGAAAAGAATATATATACATTTTGTAAATAAATAATCTAACTTTTACTTTATTTGTAAAGCACACACATCGAAGAAAAATAAAATACTTGGAATTTTCAATTTTGTTACAAAATTATTCCTTTGCTTTTGATCTATTTATATGTTCAAGGTGGTTTAGAGGAAGAAACAAAGAAAAAGTGCCTTGGAAAGAATAAAGCCTTTTTATTAGATGAGGTCCAATCAAAAAGATGCCAAATTGCATCCTTGTTGTCCGAGACTGAAAGATGACTTTTTTATTATTATTATTATTACATTCAGTTGTATTTTTCTTAAATAACAATAAAAAAAAATATTTGCATTCAAATAAGAAGCTTGGATTCAATATAATTAAATATGTTTTCAACACATTAAATCTACTTATTTTAATCAAATTTAATGTTTTGAGGAACATAATTAATGTGTTGAAAATTTACAGTGTTAAAAAAACAGAATAATTTTTTAAAAAAATATAGAATTAATGTGTCGAGAAATTAATATGAGCACTTAAACAAGTGGTGTTCACTTATGTCACACAAAGTGGGGTGTAGGACCAGAAGATGCGAGAGTGGGAGCACAAAAGCGGTATAATTTAACTCATGCATAATGGAATTGGAAGCAAAAATGCGTGTGGGGAGCAAAAACGGGGACACATAATGCGTGAGAACGGTACCTGTTAGAAGAATTATGTGACTTAGATTAGGGATAACAAATTTCGACATGACTCCAACACAACTCAAACACAACACTAGATAAGCAAGTTATATATACTTGTTTTACTCAACGTGTCATAATTGTGAATATAATCTGTGTAATCTGTTACATGTTTAGACTCAATTACTATAGACAATTAAATCATTTCAGCATAAACCTTAACTACGTCTTATAATTTTTCCTTGAATCGGCTATGGGTTATTTGATATATGTTTTCTTACTTTGAATATTTGGGCTAATTGACCCTTATATATTTTTTGTTATTTATTGTTTGATTGAATATTAAATATCTCGTTTTGATAAATATATCATTAAACATGTTAACATATATAATTTATTTAATAAACAGATAATGTTAGCATTAAGTATCTCTCATACGATTATTAAACAAATTATTTTTAAATTTACTTGTTTAATAAAATACTCTTAAATTAACACTCACTATACAATTAGGCTGCCAATACAAATTTGCGACCCTTTCAACTCTCACATCATCACCTATAGATTCACAACAGCAAAGGTGATGTCCCTTTAACTTTTGGTTCACTTAGTAACCACTTGCATTGTTTTACAACTTTTCCTCTATCTAGCTTTATTCTGTACTGTAAAGGTTTGGTCTCAATTTGTTTGATGTGGGACTTGTGATTGGAACTTGGAAGTCATAATAATAATCCTTTTTTCTTTTCCTTTTTTTTTGGCATCATTTTCAGTTTAATATATGCTTAAAAAGAGCCATTAGCTCAATTTGAATTCATTGGAACTTTTTATGACATATATGGCGCAAATACCATACTTCCAAAATGTTATCATTTCAATACACTAATTTAATATAGAATTTATGTAAAGAATGAGGTGAGATCAAGTAGCATTTTAACTTTGCAGTTCACTATGAGGGAGAGAGAGATATTTTATATATAATTTCAAAAGTATTATTGTCACGCATTTTTGTGCAGTTTTTTGTCTCCCTTGTACCCTTATTACTAAAACAAATGAACTCTATTATATGTCTCGGTGCACAATGACGCAATCTACTTTACTTTTTATTCAAGGTTTTGGTGTTCCTAAACATGGATTTTAAAATTTTGAGTGAAAAAATTAGGAAAATAAACTTGAACTGAATTAAACGGGCGGCGACACTTAAATGGGTACAAAGACATGTCTTAGTTAATTGTGTTGGTTGTATTAATAACGTGCTATTATCAACTGATTTATATGCTAACGCGTAGTGATAGAATCTACTAAAATAAAATATTTTTACTTATATGACGGAATACAATTGATTGATGGTACATAAAACGAAGTATTAAATGTGCAGAGAAGTCTTTCTCATGCAAGAGACCATTCTTTTTTTCCTTTTGACTTATTATTATTCTCCTCTTTTATTTTCATATGAAAATTCTCTTATCTTATATGTAGGGACGAAGTCCTTTACCGCCCTCACTTATGTTTAAGTTGTCTAAAATCGTTTTGAAGTGTCAGACTTCGACTCTCTATATTTACTAATTTAATTTCTAACAATTTTTTCCTTTTTGTTTCAAGGAAAAATTTGTTAGAAATTAAATTAGTAAATATAGAGAGTCGAAGTCTGACACTTTAAAACGATTTTAGACAACTTAAACATAAGTGAGGGCGGTAAAGGACTTCGTCCCTACATATAAGATAAGAGAATTTTCATATGAAAATAAAAGAGGAGAATAATAATAAGTCTTCCCCCTCCCCTTTCACAATTTTCTTTTCACTTACATTATATTGGAACAAACAAAAAGAAGAAAATTAGAATATTTCATTCCTTTTTTTTTTCTTTTTTCTTTTTTCCTTCTTTTATATTTCTTCCATTTTTTTTATGAAAATAATAAAATATTTATTTAAACA